AACGGAATTTTTACCAGAGACACGAACGCGGGGTAAGTACGAATATAGACATTACATTACATTACATGATCCACATGTAAAGAATACTGCAACAGTAAGAATATCCGATTTAAAAACAACCATCGTTAAATATCTGCCAAAATGACCGCTATTGAAATGTTAAAAAAATCTTTCTACACCATTTTCGAAAGTGGCCGCGTTCAGTCAGTGAACTCTATACATACTGGAATGAGTGATCTATTGTTCTGGCTGTTGCCGAGAGAGAGGTGCGTTTGGGTGAATCCTTGTCTCCTTCTAGTACTACCTGATTGGATAGTCGCACATAAATGACGAGAAGGATGGCGTCATTTATATGCGATTATCCAATCAGGTAGTACTAGAAGGAGACAAGGATTCACCCAACGCACCTCTCTCTCGGCAACAGCCAGAACTAGAGATCACTCATTCCAGTATGTATAGAGTTCACTGCGTTCAGTAGACACAACTGTTGAGTGAGCGCTCAGAATGATTGGTTAATACTTTTAGATCCAGCCAATCGTATTAAGAAATCATTGAGCGCTCACTCAACAGTTATGCCTGCTGAACGTGGCTAATTACAATATTTGAGCAATATTACATATCAAATGGGAACGTTTAGTAACCGTCTTTCTGACATATTATTTCTCGCTGAAATATATTTTAGTAGTGACAATGAATCGAATATCGAAATGCGAGGTACGTACCCCGATAGGAAAATGTCTCAAATATATTGTATAATAATTGCATCATCCAAAAAGAGAAAATTTCACGATGACTGGATTTGAAGGTAATTTGCCAAAACGCGGCGGTTTTGTAGGAATAGAATTTCTAAATGGTATTCGCCCAAAAATTGATAATCTCAATTTAGGGGATAAATTATGTTCAAGTATTTCGTCATTTAAAATTGCCAGCAACAGAATTACATATGATAAATGTTTAAAAAAGGTTTAGTGTGGGATGCGTTTACCGCTGCCTTTATCTCGTCTCGCGTGTATTTTAATGTTAAACAAATATAAATAGTAATAAATATTTATGAATATTTCTTATAAATATCATGTGCTGTCTGGATGGGAACGAAAAAGCACTAAATAATTACTAGAGTTCAGTAATTAAATTATTAGAAATTACTAATGTACAGTTAATCTTCTAATAATTATTTCAATTATATTTTTGCAAGAGTTGGGTACATTCTCTTACTTCTTACTGCTTACTTTCAATGTAGGTGGTCCTTTATACTTCAAGCATGCAATGGATAAGAAAGATCTATCGGCTAAGCCGTAATGCAATTCGATACAGTTGAGATAAGGCGGCGGGCACGTAGAAGATTAATGAATTAAGCGATACCGGACGTAGTCCGAATGGAACACTGAACAGGGAACATTCTCCTGTAGAACTTGTTCATAATACTGCTGCAATTTGCGGTAAGATTGATAATTAAAAATTTTGCATTACTGTATTGGCAAAAAATATATAAGTTACATCGGTATTGTAAAATATTGTAGTGAAAAGAAAATTAATGAAAACAGTAGCTTTTTAAAATTGCATAATCATGAAATCAGTCATCACTTGATTGCTTACTTTTTAGCTTTCAGGCAAAATGCAACACTCATTGTCTTCTATGCTTGTGCTTTTGTGCTATCTTTCCCTAGTGTTCACCATGAGTAAGTCTTCCATAATCTGAACTATCGGAATTAAATATAAATTATTCGTCTATCTCAGGCGAGAAAATATACATTTAAACATTACACAATATACATTTAAGTATATTGTTATGTAAATAAAAATAAATAAAATTTGTAAGATAAACTTAACCGAATTCCTTTAAACAGAATCTACAAAAATTTTTTCAATACTTAACAAAATACATATTCATAAATTCTATTAGAAAGTATACGAATAATTTTCCGGAACTATTTTAAATGAGTAAAATTGTTATATTATTTTTAAATTGTTATTAATATTTTTAAATAAATGTAGCAAATCTTCCAGAATGAAGAATTTTTTATCGAGAAATTCTATTAAATAGATTTCTATTGAAAACACAATGTGCTGTAGTAAATTTAATGATTCATTGTAGTCGATGTAACGAAACATCCTAACTGGTCGCTGTTGGAGCACAATAGTTGCGGTAATTCTAACAGTGATCGTATTATTGGTGGTAAAAATGCGAGCCTCGGCGCATATCCTTGGATCGCGAGAATAGGATACAGCATGCCTGATGCAGGTGAAACATTAAGCTACAGATGTGGCGGCACGATAATCAGTAAACTGTACGTAGTCACGGCTGCCCATTGCGTGGCGGATCTACCCGAAAAGTACGTATAAATATTACGTACATTATTAATAAAATTACATATTATAATATAAAGTCAGGCTCGTGTAATAATGCACAATTATTTCGACACTTAGAAGCAAAATTGTCCAGCAACACAGTTACGTCTAATAAATGTTTAAAAAGATTTATAGCATCCCTAGTAGTACAGTGCATGGACCAAACATTGGTTAAACATTGGCGCAGTACAACCAATTATTGGTATATACCACGATTTGATTTTATTGTCTCGTTAGAATAGAAGTATCGAAGAGACACCAGTATTTAATCAGAACATTATAACGTATTTTTTCATTGTATAATATACATGAGGATGTATATTCAAGTTTCAAGGTGAATGGAATTCGTTTGGGCGAACACAACACTCTCACTGATCCCGACTGTGAAAAGGGATTTTGTGCAGAGCCAGTACAGGACTTTCTACCCGAATCGATAATCATCCACGAAGATTACAACAATCCAATGTACAAAAATGATATAGCGATAGTGCGGTTAAACAAGCCAGCGGTTTACAATGGTGAGTTCATCAATTAGTCGTCATTAATCCACTCCAGTCGAGTCATCCTCGATTTTCAAAAGTAAAGAGTGAGAACAAGTGTCCACAGGCAAATGGTCCCATTTTTTCGCATTCGATTTTCGTCACAAAGTAGGTAGCAAACGATCTTTTTGTTTTCAAAAAACGGCGCATTAGATAACATTCTGATATCTTTATGTGATCTTTTAGAAACCTCTCTAAGTTATCCGATTCAGAAATGCGATTTCTTTCAGAAATCGTTTTGATAACATATTGTTTTCTGGGTATTTAACGTTTCAGAGATATCGGGCTCCAAAAGTTCCATTCCATCCCAAAAAAAATGGTTGGTGTCTGTCCAGACGGCTTCATTGCTTACGTCCTGGGAATTTTTGCAGCCCGATATCTCTGGAACGTTAAATCTAGGTACACTCTGAGACTGACATATCTGCGATTATCTCGACGAGACCTTTCGTTTGGTACCTACTTTGTGACGAAAATCGAACGCGAAAAAATGAGGCCGATCTTGTTCTCACTTTTTGTTATTCTTTCTTTACGATTTATATACAGAGCACGTGAAGCCGATTTGCATGATGAGCGGTGACCTTCTCAGGAAGAACTACCTCGGCGAGACGGCAGAAGTCGCCGGTTGGGGAATTTACGATATTAGTAAGACACAAGCTAATCTAAACTAATATACCAAGTATTTCATATTTGTTCCATGTCTTCTTCCACTTGATACGTCACACAGAAAATTTTAAACAATATTAACTTCAAGATGAGACACTTTCTATTGTGGAGATAGTTTCGCTTTTGTATTTTTTTTTAACTGACGAAGCTCCAAAGCGAGTCAAAATGTTTGCTAATAAATATCTACCGCTTCTTAGATTCAAGTAATTTGTTGAGCCAATTGGCTTCGTATTTGTTTGATTTAAATTCTGAATCTAGAGATTTTAATAAGATTTCAATAAGAGATCACCAATTATTGATAGATGACCCGAAGCCTAGCATAATCCTACAGACGGTTAAGCTGCCGGTCGTCGAAATGGATAGATGTGTGATAGCGTTCAAAAGCTATGCAGATGTATCGGGGAAGCAACAAATGTGCGTAGGCGGCATCCCGGGCGAAGATTCTTGTGGCGGTGATAGCGGCGGGCCCCTGATGAAAGTGGAGAGCCTGGACGGACCCCCTAAATACTATCTCATCGGCATCGTTTCTTTTGGTACAAAATCCTGCGGTGCCTCCAAAACACCTGCCATTTACAGCAAGGTTGCTACGTATACTCCGTGGATCTTAAACAACATAGCCCCCTAAAGACATTAAGATAGCTGTATATAATTTTGTGGAGAAAACAAAATTATAATATATTCGACAAACATTTTATCTCATCGAAATACCGGTGGAGAGTTTCGCATCTTTTTTTTTAGTTTTACTTAAAACACAATCGTTTTTCATTTGGAATACTTTACATCTGAATCTTTTGTAATTGTAATGAGCAATGCTTGACATTGACTCTTATAAAATAAAATGGCTATGAAAAATAAACTAGCAACGAATGCATATTAGACGCGTTATTATTCAAGGTAATTTACAACCAATACGAAAGTTGTAACATATATAATAAAGGTTTCTAAATGAAAGCTACCCACACAGCAAAATATATCTGATTGTGAGACTTAAATCAGATATCATTTCACATTTAGTGCGGGACAAATACGTGCATTAAAATTTAATTAAATGCACATTATATAACGCGCATTGGCGCTCCTTGAGTGTAATTCAAGCGGTGATAAATACCCAATTACAGTTAAATACAAAAAGTATTTAATTACTAACAATTTTCTATAAGAATTGGCGACTTTTTCTACCTTTTTCTGAAAAGATAATTTATTTTAAATGGGTTTTAATCTCGTAAGATTTGAAACTGTTCCAACTAGCTCGTTTAATCATTGCTTCGCGGAAGCAATTGATTAGCGAGCACACGGGAGAATTAACTTGAGTCTAATCTGATTGAAATTTTGTTTAGATTTCTAAGCGTCGATTTGAGCAAACTCATATTTCTTAAAATCAAATCTTCCCAGAGACGCGACCGCAACATTCGACCTTTCTGTGAGATTCGTGCGTTATACATGATACATTATTGAAAATTCGGAGAAGTTGAGATGTTACCGCTCTGCATTGCTAGATCTGGATTGCGTCAGTTTATGCACGCAATATCGTCGAACTGTTTTTTCTCTACGTCCGAGTATTGAATCACTCTTCCATGGAAGCACATCAATGCGCTCGTACTCACTTGCAACTGCAATTAAATATGCAACGGTATCAATAATTTTTTTTTGTGAATTTTTGGAATATACGTGATAAAGCGTTTCCTCCCTTTACGACGTAGAGCTTAAACTGAAATTTTGAACTAGTATATTTGAGGATCTAATAAAGTTTTCGGAACAGGGCTGTTAACATCTAATTTAAAAATGCACATGTGCGATGCTTCGAGCACTTTTACGAGCCACATAAAATACGATCTGTACGTGCTATTATACATACAATGTAAATTATGTGTTGCACGATAATGCGCATGTTAAGAAAATTAAATTGCCGCAGTCAGCCAAAGACTATTAATGACCTCTTAAGATGATTTGATAAAGATCACGCATTTGCTTACATTGATTTCGCAACTCTAACGTCTGTAACTATGAGACCACTATTTTACACTCGATTTCTTCACTGGCGATGACGTTGAGGCTTCTTTGAATCTATAATTCCCTATAGCATAACTTTTTTACAATTGCGGCAGGAAAATCCGACAACAGGATCATGAAGGGAGGGACATTTAGATCTTTCAGAATCCAAAATTATTTTCAAGTTTTTCCAAAAAATGTATTATTTTATCATATGTTAGATTTATAATAAATTGGAACTCTTGAACAGATAAAATTCGATCAAATTTTATACAAATATTGTAAGTATGTGTAAGTTCTATCTGTCGAATTATATAATATTATATGTATAAATAAAGTCGATCATTTATACTAAATAGAAAGAAAATACGCTGATGCGGTGATAAAGCAAGAAAACATAATGAGGAAAATTGCAACTAGTTAAGTTAGTCAACAATGAATTGGAGTTTACAGGGAAAGTCCCGATGGACCAAAACTATTCTGATAGGAAAGTGTCTCAAATATTGTGCAATAATTGCATCGCTCCTGTATTACCTTATACCTTTAAATATTATTATATCAATGTATTATATCATTAATTAGAAAATTTTGTGGCAATTGTTATAATTAATTTATATAATTATATATATAGTAAGTATAATAAATATAAAATATTACAAATAACATACTCTAATGCATGATTCATATAGAATTGTGATCAATACAATTAAAAACTGGAAACTTATCGATAACTATTTGAAATATTATATTACAGCTACTAAAATAATTATCTGCTGTACATCTCTAATCTTCTTTCTTCCAAATGCATCTAGTTTCAGTCAGATAATAGAAATAGGAAATTTTCCTGGTCGGTCCGCTCCTGCTAATTAACTTGGCGAAGCATGTTAACAGCGGTGGTGGGGACAGTTGTTGACCCTGGCTTTGGTTGCTCTATCATGGATGCTATCGTCAGTTGATGTTTTAGTCCTCGGCAAGGCAACCATAAAACGGAAAGAACTGCTGAGGCCGAGTGAGTTCGCGTGGGCAAAGTGTGCTGTGATCATCTCTTGATCACTCACAATCTGTTAATAATAACGAATTTGAATAATCCGTTGAGAATGTCGACGTCGACCTTCCTGGTGTTCCTCAACTCTCTGACGTTGCTGATTATCAACATCCATGCGCGTAAGTTGATTCTTTTAACTATACAGACACAACATTAATGTTAGTTCAAGGATAGGTTGGAGGCTGGTTAATTCCAATGTATTCATTTACGTACATTCTCCCGCATTCTAGAGCCTATACGAAATATCATAAAGATGCTTAGCAAGTATCTCCAATTGCCCAAGTCTTTTTCTAGACTTTGTAGATGTTCAAGTTCTTATGTCGCTTCTAACGACTGTATTTAAGATGCAGGGTCGTAAGAAACGACTAGAATTAGACCATCAAGGGATTATCAACGATGCCATTAACAATAAATTACAAGTAAATTATTAATAAATATTTACAAATAAATAATCGAGGGGTAAACCGCCGAGGGCACTGTGGTGTATAGATTTGCGGCATTACTGGGCATTACTAGGCATTACTAAGTATTTTTTGGGCATTAGTTTGGGCATCAGACTTTGCTGGGGCATTATAAAGATAAGATGAGATAAAACAAGATAAATAAGATAAAATAAGACAATAAGATAAAGTAATGCCCGCTGGGCATTAGTGGGCATTGGTGTACAAGATTTTGGTCAACGGTTTATTCCTCGTAAATAATATTTAAAAAATAGGAATATACTCAGTAGATAATAATTTACATGCAATGTTGGATATTTTTTTCGCATATCATTAAAAATTTTCCTTTTAAAAGTACAATTGTCATAACAATACTAAATATTCCTTTTAGAAGTAAGATGTCGTTTTGCCGACATTTTAATGTCATGTCTGGCTGTAGCTCTGGGATTAGTCACTAAGATCCAGCATGAGTCATTTCTATTGTTTATGTATTTATTTATTTTAACGATCTCATTTATTTAATAATTGTCACAGGTTTTTTTATCGTGAGAGATTTTTGAGATTGCAACAATCTTGAGTCACTGCGTTGAACATCTTGATTTCTAATTGTTAATTTAATGTACTGTTGAGTCTAAAGTTTAATTGTATTTTTCTATATAATTTCTTTAACTTCTAATTTCCCGCTCTGTTTACTTGACGCACAATGAAAGCAGACAAAACCTTAATTGTATCTGAGGTTTGTGCGCAATGTACGCAGTACGAATTATCGAATCAAATGTGTCTGAATTGCAATATACTTAATCTCGAATTTAGTTTTATTGCTGGAAACTTAATCACCGCGGAACGCAGTTATCTCGGTTTGCGACATTATTAGTTATCAATCAATGCACGTTTCCGCGAAAACAAAAACCATGGCCGGTTTCCATCTCGAATTGTCCGCGGCATTATTTTGCATTGCGTCACCGAATAGTTAATGGCTAGCGTCGAGGATCAGGAAGCGAGTATTTAATGTGATTAAATCAGCTTTGTTCGATTTTGCGCGCTGCGACACTTTGATGGATCTTTGAATTTTAGACTTTGAATTTTACTTTTGTATAAATGATATCAATCATCTAATAATATCATCTAGTACTGAATTGTATAAGAAGATCCTGCCAAAGAGATCCTGGCATGGGAAAAATATGTATACTGACTAGTTTCTTGTTCAGAAAACTGGAAATTCTTGGATTCTTGGTGGATAGAATTTTAATAGCTACTAGGTGGACAGCGAGAAATAAAAAACACATTGCATATATTATTAAACGACGCTGTTATGCAAAGTGATTACCTTTCAATTCGAGAAAGCGTTTTATGTGTAAGCCGTTAAACCCAGAGTCGTATAGTATTTCCACTAGCAACAAGTAGGAATTGATTTCACAATTTATTTTTAAAATTAAAACTAGATACGCCCGTTCTTAAATTTACAATACAATAATTTTTATTGTACTTTCTTATCAGCAATTCTTCTTTTTCTGACGTTTCGTTCTTCTTTTTCGCAGAATCACGGACGGACTGTACAGCCGACAACCAGGTGGGCACGTGTATAAGCGCGCGTGACTGTACACTGGTGTCCAACATTCTGCAACAATCGCGGGAACAGGCCATCGACTATCTGAGGCGCAATCACTGTGGCTTCGAGGGCTCGAATCCAATGGTGTGCTGCATAAACAACGCGAGCATCCACACCCGTCCAGGTGGCCTCGTGTCAAACCCTGGGACCACGCAGAATTGGAACCCGGAAACAACTACTTCGGAGTCTGCCGAGAACACGCAGATAGACCTGGCGAGCAACCCGCTGCTGCCGAGCGACTGCGGCCGCGACTTGTCGCAGAAGCTCCTCGGCGGCGAGCGTACCGAGCCCAGCGAGTTTCCCTGGATGGCACTATTGGAATATCAAAAACGTGAGAAGAAGAATATTAATTATGAATTAATTGTCATTGATACATGAACTCGTAGATTATCATCCATCACATAAGCAATTAATCTTACAGTTCAATGTAAATCATATTGCGCCTTTTCAATGATGTTACAGCCAACGGCAGAACGACGGCATGCGGGGGTGTCTTAATTAATAAGCGCTACGTCCTTACCGCCGCTCACTGTATCAAGGGCAAGGATCTACCAACCAACTGGCGTCTGACCAGCGTTCGCCTGGGCGAATACAACACCGACACCGAACAGGATTGCGTGCCAAACGGTGATAATACCGAGTTGTGCATTGATGATCCGGTAACCGTAGGCGTGGAGGAGCAGTTCGCCCATGAGGAATACCGGCCACTGTCGCGAGATCAACGTTACGATATCGCATTGCTGCGTCTCAGCCGCGACGTGACGTTCACCACCTACATCAAACCCATCTGCTTGCCGTCCAATCCGTCGCTCAGTGGCAAGCTCTTCGTGGCCGGCTGGGGCAAGACGGAGAATCGCTCGGCTTCGAATATTAAGCTGAAGTTGGGCTTGCCCTTGGCGGATAAGAGCCAATGCGATCAGACTTATACTAACGCCGGCGTCCAGCTCGGCTTTGGGCAACTCTGTGCGGGCGGCCAGAAAGGCAAGGACTCGTGTCGGGGTGACTCGGGCGGTCCCCTGATGGCCGTCGAGAGACTCACCGATGGTGCCCTCAGGTGGACTTCCGTGGGCGTTGTATCCTTTGGACCATCGCCCTGTGGCATGCAAGGATGGCCTGGCGTATATACGAAAGTAATAGACTTTGTCCCCTGGATTCTTAGTAAATTAAGGCCATAAACGGAGACGTCGTTTAAGAGGAAAATTATCTGCAACGAAAAGCTGAGTTAAAATATGTTACATAAATTAATTTGTTTCTGTAGTCTTTTTCTCTTGTGATTTGAATTATGTAGAATTAATTAGGCCTACAAAAAATTGATCTACTCGTTAATAAAATAGGATATACATATATATACATATATAATATGATAATAATTTTCTTAAAGAGATTAATGAATAAATTACGGCAAAAACATTTTTTAATTGTGATAAATATATCTTATTTTAGCGAGATAAAACATGAGATTGTCACTATATAATATTTTTTCTCTATGTTTTCTATATATGTATAGACATATATAAGATCCACGAATATACTCAATGATGCTAAAAAAAAATGTATAGTTAAGTGGCATTAATTGTTCTTTTGTTTTACCTGCATTTATAATAAGATATTCTATAGTAATACCAATAGATATACTTTTGCGAGCTTTATTCAAATAAGGTGCAATCAATTTAGAATGAAATTCACGATATTGGTTCATCGTGGGAGAAATCAATCATCTATCATTAGATCAATCATCTGTCAGTCTATCATTAGAATATTAAAAAGTTAGAATGCTTGTAAGAACAGCAGCGTGTAAAATATATTTTTTAAGTTTTTAATAACATTAATACAAACGAATAAAAATTCTCCCGCAACTACATTAAGTTAATAATTACCTTTTCCTTTTCTTGGCACGCTATTCTTCTCATACTCTTTCTCTTGTACTATCTCAACATTATCTTAATAAGTTTCTCATATTTGAAATAAGATTTTTAACGCTTGTTCTTTTATAGTTACATTATTTTTCTTATTGTTATTCTTTTATTCCCGTAATGCGATTAACGGCATAATGTGGCCGAATTATTAATGCCTGTCGCTTAAGATTTATATTTCTGCAAATGTGTCAATCATTCGATTAATTGCACCATTATTTACAATATTTTTTATCCACGATGTTATCTGTCTAAGGACTCTAATGTATAAAGAAATCAATCAATTTCCTGGAAATTCCACCTTCGTTTGAGGAAAACGTGGTATAAAATTGCGAACTGTTGGATTGCAAAATGACCAATGGTTGTGTCGTGTACACGTTATATTCGCATCTTCATTTGCCCCCGAAGTTATCACGCGGGACTCGACCTATTGCCGCGCGTTGTTATCACGTCACAGTAATCTACGCCAAGTAACTTCGAAAAGCAAGGATGACTGTTTTAGAAAATAACATGGAGATTAATTAAAAATCTTAAATAACTTAAATCCTAAATAACTCTTAAGGAATTAAAATTTCAATATTATTCTCAGAAAAGTCGCCATTTGACGAAACTCGAAAATTTCCTCCTCAGACTTTGCAAAAAATAATACTCGAGAATTAATTGTTGTTAATCATATGCCGTAGATTCGTTGACTGAATTAATCGCTTTAAGCTGCAAAAAAGTCTACATATAAAATCACATACGTACTGAGTGCAATAATTACACTATTAATGATGTATAAATTTACTTTTAAAAAAGTATTTTCATAAAAATTTGTCTTCTTACTCTTGTGTAAGTAATTGTTTATATTTGATGGAAAACTGTGAAAGATTACAAAATTAAAAGCAAACTGCTTACTTATAATATATAAGGTAGATAATAATTTTATCTACGAAATACAAAACTGGTATGTAAATTTTAACCTTTCACAGGTCCGAATATTATCCACTATATAACAGTTGTGATTTGACATGAAATTTGTTTACAGTGTACAGCGATAAACACTTTTCCGACATTACGGAGAACTTTTCGTATCTCTGCATTTTGTTGTGGTCATAGATCATGGTAATGCATATATTAAAGATCTTACTGAATTGAATAACAAATGAGTAAAGAGATACGCAACGGGCGACGTTCTTGATAACGGTAGTGGATTTACAGGAAAGTATATTACTAAAAGTTTGTTACTGATATTTTGCCGTAACTTTCCTCGTCTGTCAACGATGACTAATAGGTGCACCTTTCTACAGGTTTTTCAGCACTCTTGCGTAAGCTTGATCGTGCAGTAACGTTATCCTGGGAAACCCCTGATGCTTTTACAAACCCATGACAACTATTTTCGGTAGATCTTTTTCGTGCAAGATTTCCTGTTATTTTTCTCCGAACGAGAATCTTTAGTTATTCCAATGTCCAACAAACACACCTCTCTCTATCTCCCGCCTCTCCCTCTCCCCTTCCCCTTAATTTTACTCTCTTCTTCTTCTTCTTCACATCTCCTCTTCGCGCGTATGCCTTTCAGGAAAAATTCCTGCGAGTTTATTTCGCCTTCATTTTAATTTATAGACAACGTTAATTCCCTTCCTGGAAGAAGAATGCCGATTTTGTCATCTTTTAATTTTCACATTAATGGAATATTAAATAGTTCTCTTCTGAGAAATTATGCTGACGCTTTTAACTAAGATCGATTTAGCGATAAAGGTGAATATATGTTTATTTATCTGGCTTTCGTGATTTCGGAACCGAAGTGGAGAATAACATGATTCTTGAAATTGTTTACGCAGAAACATGTGGGCAATGGCTAAAGTTTGTTGTTCAAACGAAAACGAGAGAATAGAGAGAGAGAGAGAGGGAGAGTAAAGTGAGAGAAAGATCTTTAAAAATGTAATAGGAAATTAAACACTGAAAGTTTTAGACAAACGAAGAATCAAACTTTCAAGATAAACAGATAATCGAATAGTATAACGTATACAATAAAAATTAATTTTCTAAATAAAAATCGATCATGAATCGAAGGATATTCAAAAGAAAAATCAATCTCACGTACACATCTCTTGCAGAAATGTGAACGTACATCGGTAATTTCTAATAATTTAATTACTGAACTCTAGTAATTATTTGATACCTTTTTCGTTCCCAGTTATTATATTTCCGTAAGGGATGTAACATTATTTCTATGAATGGAACGTATGTCCCTGCAACTACTAGTTCGCGTTACAACAAATTGTCGTAAGTAATCGTAAATAATAACAATTCGCGCGAGATGACAGCAACATTCTTTCCCAAGGGAAGTATCCGCGTTTCCCATTTTCGCGGAATCGCACGATTCTATACTTTACCCTGCAGCAACGAATCACCGATGACTCGCTATTGACGATTGTCCCCACCGAACCAACAGATTTAATAGGCCCAGCAAGTGGTGAAGGAGCTTAGTTGATCGGCGACTCACGAGTCACGAGCAGCAAATTAGTACTGGTTTGTATCTCAACGCGAGAGACCGAGATACGAGCCGCGAGTCCGTGAGTGGAATTCATCGCGTTCTCCAACGGCGTCTGGACTCTCTGTCTCACGTGAGGACTCTCTGTCTCTTCGCAAGAACCACCGGAGCGAAACAGGAAAATCCCTGGCTCGCTGTGATCTATGAGTGAGTGAGTGAGTGAGTGAGTGAGTGAGTGAGCGAAAGAAAGAGAGAGAATACAAAAACGAGAAAGAAGAATAGCAACAAAGCAATTACAAGAGATTGATTGGCGAGGAGTAATTACACTGGTACCGCAAATAAACATGATGTTCATCGGTACGCTTGTCCTCTTCCTCGTATTAACAACAATCGATGCACGTGAGTAATTTATTTTAACGTCAGTTCTAACGTCAGTTCTTCGTTGTACGAACATTCTTGAAAAAGGCGTCAGTTCTAACGTCAGTTCTTCGTTGTACGAACATTCTTGAAAAAGGCGTCAGTTCTAACGTCAGTATCTTTCCTCGAACGAATTTTGAAAAAATTTCATGAGCTTCTTTAAAAAAAGCGACACATTTAATAAAATTAATTAACATATTAAAAATTAAATCTATCTGAGTCTTGCGTTTATATCGAAATACCTTTCCAGATGAATGCTAAGACATTCCAAACTATTTTCACATATGATATGCTGGATTGCTGGGTTCATTCTGAGCTTCGATGAAGTTCAAATTTTGTTTCTAGAAAATTGCTGTTTAAGAAATATTATTAATCAGATTGAACAATGAATTGCCGTTATAGAGGGTAGATGTTCGGAAGGAAGTGGTAACTGTATCAATATTCGCAATTGTCCGGCGATCATATCAATTCTAAGAGGTTCAAGACCACTTTCGGCGGAGGCGTTGCAGACTCTCAGAAACTCGCAATGTGGCTTTGAGGGCAGCGACCCGAAGGTCTGTTGCGACCAGGTAATTGAACTTGAACCTAAATGGATTAATTTACCGACCGAAACACTAACCCAAAACTAATTAACTTATTGAAATCAAATAAAGTAATAAAATTAAACTAAATACCGCGTATAATGCATTGATCCATAATCACCAATTCGAGAAAGAGAATTAAATTTAATACTATATCAAGCTAATTGTTTTAAAAGGTGAACAGAAATAAGCTAGAAAGCAAAGAGAGGTCCTGGTTAGGGATTATAATTATTAAAAACCGCACTTCTTCAGCGAATAAATTATTGTAGTAACTGTGTATTAACGATTTTCTTTCTCTGTTTATTTTCGATTCACTGCTGGTTTTGTAAATAAGTTCTTGAAATAATAAAAGATTATTTACTGTCTAGTTTATGTTCTTATCAAGGACATCAAATTAATGCGTTTCGGATGATTCTTTATCGCCTCCACAGTATCATATTGTATTGCATGCATCTTTCATAATGCGTTTACATAACATTAAGGATGCGTCTATAAGTGCAATTTTAAACCAAGTCTCACTTCTTGACTGTAAAGTTGAAGTGAGTAAACTATATGCGTAATAAGAATGCGTCGCGGCTAACCGTTTAATAGTCTTCTGAAATAATGCTAAAACAGGTTTCCGTGACCTCGAGTTTCCGTTTTATCCTGATCTCGTTGTACTAGCAGGACACCGAGTTGAAGTTGTACTCGTCAAGGTCTGAAATTCGTACAGTTTTCTGTTATATGGCGTAAGAATAAAATCAGAGATTTTACTACAATTAAAGCTCCTTTATTTTAAAGATATTTTCCGAACAAAGCAATGAAGATATTTTTATGTTCAACTTTCCCATTTTTAACGATCTTTATCAACGTGCGTGTGTAATTTAGACGATCGTGCGAGAACGTGACGCTACTTTTACATTCTTAGAACATAAAGTTCCCTTATAAATTGTAATTGTGAGTTGAATTTTTACTTTTGTGTTGCAAAAGTTAAGGTATCGCTTTTTCATTTCTTCTAATATTAAATATTAATTTTTGACAACAGGGGACTACGACGACGACGACGACGACAACGACGACAGAAGGCCCGGAAATTATTCCAAGCCCACCAGATGTATCAAACCATCCAAATCTACGTCTGTTGGAGCACGTAATATGCGGGCCGATCGTCCAGCAAAAAGTAGTCGGCGGCAACAAAACCGGTGTCTTCCAGTATCCGTGGATGGCGTTAATCGCGTACGACACCGGAAGACCGAATCCAGAGTTCCGTTGCGGCGGTACGGTCATCTCTTCGCGCTATATCCTCACTGCCGCCCACTGCGTCACGACACTTCCGGCGGGTAAGGGCAATTCATATAGCCGTAAACATGGCAATCCCTGAAATATTTTGCTGAAAATACTGTGAAATTGATGAAAAGTGAAATGAAAATTGTTAAAAAGTTACTAAATGTATCTCAAAATAAATCATTTGACTTATTAAATTCAATATACTGTGAAATATAAGGAACATCAAAGTATATAATGAATAAGCATATGTTGAAAAGTAATGCATAAAAGCAAATTGGAAATTTGCACACTACTTTGTTATCATTTAGGTTGTTTTTTCAATTATTTTTGGTGTCCTCATAGAGGAAGCTTGGTGTGCAAATTAAAATTCTAAGGAGGCAATTTTCAATTTGCATCTTAACTCACAAAGCTTCTTCTATGAGGAAGCTAAAATTAAAAAAAAAACAACTTGCCCAGATAATGACAAAGTAATGTGCAAATTTTCACTTTGCATCTTTAAAATGAAAAGTTAACTTACTCAGATGATGGAGAAGCGAGGTGCAAATTTCCAATTTTTACACCTTTCTGTATTTATTTTTATTATATTTTATGTTTAAAGTTTGAAAGATGTTTGAGAACATTCTCAATGAAGTTTCATTCGATAAATAATCTGAATCATTGTTCTCCAGGTCTCAGAGTAATAGGCGCCAGAATAGGAGATCACGACATAAACACGGAACGTGACTGCGAGAGAGACATGAATGGACTCGAGGGCTCATGCGCGGAGAGGTATCAGGATTTCGGTGTGGATAGCATCCACTTCCACCCGGACTACACGAGGACGAAGCTGCAAAATGACATTGCACTTATCAGGTTGAATAATTCCGTGGACTTTAGACCTCGAAATGCCAGGCCGATTTGTCTACCTTTCGGTACTTCGGCGCCGCTAACTCAGAAAATAGTGAGGAAATAATCAATATACATTCTTTTCCATACGATTCTTTCAAACGGGAAGTAATAAAAAAAAGAGTTTTAAGTTACATTTACTTTTATTCAAAATATTAAAATCTACTGCTGATTGGACCATTAGAAAAAGCAATTAGAAAAACAATTTTAAAATAATAAAAGAATTTTGTAATCCCCTCCCCGTCTCTCTCTCTCTCTCTCTCTCATTCTCTCTTAACAATTTAAATATTGCACAATTAAGGTGCGGTCCACTTAATGCTTCAAAGCGTTCTTCTTTCTCCTTCTTCCTTTATTAGAAGAAAGAAGAAGAATGCTTCGAGGTGTTTGTAACATCAAGTGGATCGCAACCTAAATCTCTTCGAGTGTCTTTGCGATTATAACCAATCAAACTGTATATATTAATTAATTAACTTTTTATTAATTAATTATTAAATGACCATGTAACTGTTAATTGGTGTTTGCTGGGTTGTATTTCGAAGTTTCACTTCTGATTGACAGGGTGTGGTGACCGGCTGGGGCGCGACGGAATTAGGCCCGCGTAGTCAGGCTCTCCTACAGGCGAAGCTACCGCTAGTGAGTTACGAACAGTGCAAAGAAACATATAAAAGGACCACGCAGATCTGGTACAAGCAGCTGTGTGCCGGTGGCCAGATGAACGTGGACTCCTGCTTGGGCGACAGCGGCGGGCCTCTGCAGGCCGGTGGTATATACAACAGCAGGTCGGTGCGCATCATCCAATATGGGGTAGTCAGTTACGGGCTGAAGCAGTGCGGCACCGAAGGCTTCCCCGGTGTTTACACTAAAGTCGCCTACTATATGGACTGGATACTCAATACGATGACAGATTAAAGGGATTGAAAAGCTACAGAATACAAGTCTTTCGCAATACTCTGAATCGACACGTGTCTGGGACATGGTGAAGTAAACGCGGTAATCCGAGTCGCGATGAGAATGAGAAATTTCGCGAGGCGTTCAATAAATACGACAGATTAAAAAAAAAATTGATTTCAAGAGATCAGGGGTAAATTTGCAGTGGCATAAGAGGAATGTATCTTCTATGCTTATGAAGATAAGCATCTGGGAAGATTTAGACATCTAGGAAGATGATTCACGAGTGCATACCGTTAGTGTGTGTTTTTAATTAACATAAATCATTATTGTTAATTTCAAACGCTCTTGTTATCTGTTTATTAGAGTAAAGTATCTTACTGCCGATACAACTTTATTCCATTAGACGGAAATCTCTTGGAATTGCGACTTAAGTTAAATTTCATTGTATTACTTTATGACATATATGTGATAAGCGTGTAACATTTTCGATGAGAAGAGAAAACGAAAGTTTTTCAAAAGAAAGAGAGAGAGAGAGAGAGAGAGAGAGAGAGAGAGAGAGAGAGAGAGAGAGAAGGAAACGTTCTCTTCTTACTATAATAGATATTTATGCTAAACCGATGCATGGTTATGATTCATATGTAAACATATCATGTTGTTTTTACGACCTATACAATATCGATATATGATTTTTCCATAAAAAAGTAGGTAGTTGTTTATTCCCAAGTTTGACGAGACGTATTCTTATTGCTCATAATAACACTTTAGACTTCCTGCAACATATCGCGGCCGCTTTAATTTCAAATAACTCTTCGATTAATTTAAGAGCCAAGCAGAAAGGTCATTCAACAGTCAAAATAACATAAAAAAGAATCATTTCTAAAAAAAAATCAAGATGAATGTCATTTAACACTTTTAACGACACATAATTTGACTTTTTTATGATTATACTTTTTGTGACTATTTGACTTTTCGATAACTTTCGCCGAGAGAACGTTCGTGCATGCGAAATGATTCTCACGGACACTATTATATTTTACAAGTTTGTGAAATACTTGATTTTTGAAGCATTGATATCCTGATTTTTCATTAAAAAACAAAATAAAAGAATACAAATATCTTACAAGATATTGAACAATTTAACTCACAGTTTAGTTTAGCTAATTAACATATTCTAATAATCGTAATTAATCAAATGTAATTAATCAATGTAGGAACCTGGCATTCAGAATGACGCAATGATCGAGAATTATTCAATTCAATTCACTCTTTGGCATCGACATCGCGTCGTCGCTACTGGATAACTTCTCGTCGCGATCCTCGATTAGTTCCGCCGTTTCGTTGATTGACACTTTCAGCGGGCCGCGATCGGCCTTCCTCTTCAACGTCGAGGCCTCTGACTTGGCCGCTGACTTGTCGGAGGAATCGCCCGATGACTTCGATGACAATTGACTTGAAATTAGAGTACCGGAAGAACTGGTTAATGATCCGGAATTCGGTCTGTAGTTACTGGCGTAACTCAGATACGAGTCCAAGCTACTTGATGTGGATCTTTTCGATTGCTGTTGTTTCTTCCTTTTCTTCTTCTTCTTTCGGGCATGCACGCTCTTCGGAGAAGCTTTCTGTTGCGCCCTCACGAGCGACTGAAAGCTCTGCAAAGTTCACGTACAAAGCGTAGTTTACACGATACTTTTCTTAGAACAATTCCTGAAGAATTGTTTTCATCCTTTACAATATCGTAATCTTATTCACTCACATATTAATACGTAAAATGCGCGAATGAAGGATTCAAATACGTTTACTTGTCACAGCAAAGACCATTGTTAATAAATATTTAATTTATTTTTCTTAGGAAAGCTAACTAATAATGTCGCGTAATTATCTTGTAATGATGATGCGTGCAGGTAACAAGAAATTCACAATACCTGAGAATGTCGCTCAAAGAGAGTCGGTATTTGCGTCACACGGTCAAGCATCAGTTCCATCTGTAGTCGATAACGTTCGGCCTGTTCCCGTGCCTCGTCCCGACGAAGGGACGTCCGCATGTCCAGGTCTCTGTCATGTTCGTGCCTTGTTTTCGCGATTATTAGATCAATATCCGAGCGTGAAAATCGACGAGCGCTTAGATCTACAGATCCAGTGCGTACCTCGCGGCCGATCTCAAGGCCTTCCACGCGGGTTTCCGACCGATCAGCGTCTCCCTAAACTTCAGCAACTGTTCCCGTCGCGTTTCCTCCATCCGCTCCCGTATCTCGCGCTCCAGTTTCTCTCTGCAATGAGTTTTTACTCGTTATACCCTTTATCGATATCAAAGAAGACACTTCTTTGTTATATTTAGAAAAAATTCTATCTTAAATCGCACATTATATTGATGAAGACTCAGTTAAGTCGAAACGTATACCTTTTGTACTAAGAAGCTTTTTTTGTCTATATCATTTTACTACACATCCATTATAGTTTGTCTCTCGGTCTAGTAATTCCTTACATTTGTTTTTACATTAATATGAGCGGATTAATCTATCATTTTACATATTGATGTTATGAAACTGTTAGTTGGTGTACGCTGGGTCTTAACTGTTAGACCGTACCGTGAGGCCTGACATCGCAAAATCGCGGCCAGGTTGTTCCCACGCGAGGACAGTATGGACGTCATCGCGGACCTGGTTCTGTCGGATGTCGTCGTTGCCGGGATAACAGATTCATCTTCGTCTTTGCAGGACCCCACGTCCTGCAAATGTGAACACGCGGACTTGACACGCTCACGCCTCGCCATCGAGGGCGGTAAGGAGGAGGACTTCAGCAACTCGGCGGCCCTCACCCTTTTTCTTAGCTGCCTGGAACCGCGCGCGTAAATCCTTACGCTGAATGTAATTGCTCTTAATTCTCGATTTTTCATAGTCTAGGTGATCTCGTTAAGTCGCCTAAATGCCTTCAGGAAAGCAGATTTTAACAGTCGAAATCGTCTCCTCGAATTGCAAGATAGTTTTTGTCGATCGCATATAAACCTTCGCGCATACACGGAATGAGTTGTAAGATAATTGAACTGAGATTTAATTCCCCGAAATTTTTACCATTTTGCAATTCGAAAGCAGTCCGCGCGTTTAACCAAGAGAAATATCGGTATTTCCCGAACACCCGAACGATGCAACTTTGCCGTCTTAATTGGAGACCAAGAGAAGAAGAGAAAGAGCGAGAGTATTATACATGTATATTAAACGCGTTTACGAATGTCCATTTAAAATTCCTTTTGAAATAAAATCTGTACAAGACGCGACGATTAACGGCGAGGCTGACCTATAGTATTCGTCCTCGAGCATACGGTCGTAAACCTCGGTGCCGAACAGGTTTCTTGGCACTGGCTTGGCCTTGAAACGCAAAGAGCCGCTCTTGCTCGAGCAGAGCTCAGGACTAGACCTCGCCATGGATCGCCAAGCACGGCGGTCACACTCCAACCTAAACGGTCGCACCTGCGACAGCAGGTTCAGCGCGCTCTCCTCGCGCACAATGCGACTTCTGGAATCCGGAAACGCACGTTACCTCGAAATACCAATTGCAACTTTGTAGTCCTCTAAGGCCCAGCTTCACCAAACGTCATTTAACTTTAATCTTGGTTCAATTCACGTTTGTTTCTTTCTAAAGTTGGAAAGAGACAAAGAACGAATTGAACTAAGTTTAAAATTAAGAGCTGTTGGTGAAATCGAGCCAAAATAGTACAATAACTTCCCAGATAGCATGCATGTCTAGAAAACATCTTTAAGATGGCATTAAGTTGTCCTTTAGATTTTGCACGTCTAAAAATTTAAGTGTCTTAAAGATATCTTTAGGACGTCTTTTAGACATGCATTACTATCTGGGTTTACAACAGATATAATTTTTCAATCGTCTATAAATCAAAATAATTAAAATAAAATAATATGTTCAACTTTCGATTGGATACTACGATATTAAACCTGAAGAATTAAAACATTATAGTTTTACATATCTATCTATAAAGATGAGTTGCGTAACTGACCTTTCCTCCTTCTCGGCTATCAATTTGTCATAGAGCGGTATTTTGGACGTGATAGGAATCGGTCTGACTCGTCGTTTTTTCGAAGGACTCCTTTTTTCACTATCCTCATTTACACGTTCGGCTGTCTCGACCTCCGTCATGTATTTTTCTGCTTCTTCTCTGAAATATGACACGAAATATCCTACATTAATTTAAACGAGCAGAAAATAAATATAAAAAAATATCTAATCACAAAATAGAGAAATATATATTGCAGAATGTAACAGAGTATAAGAATAAAAATATCTCAAGACACTTTATGAAGCTGGAAAGAGAAAGGAATTCCACCAAGCAGCTGTTTTTAAACGTGAGCTCTCAAACATTTTTTAAAACTCTTTGCCGCTCGGATATTTACCTCAGCGTGAAGCTAAATGGCTTAGGTACCGTAGGGTGCCATTCTTTCGAGCTGTTCGGTGGTAAACTCTTCGTTTCGATACTGTCTTCACCGTCGCTGTTCACACTGTCATCGCTCTTCGACTCACTCCACGTGCTCCAACTTTTGTTGGCTGCGAGTATCTCCTTGTTGCGTATCGTTTTCGCCTCTTTGTCCTTATCTCTGCATCTAGAATCAATTGAAATATCCATAAGCAGAGCGACACAAAGGACAGACAATTATACGCCATTTTCCCAATGTATTCGTAAATTAAGATTCTTCCTCGTCAGTTTGCCTCTCTCCGTCTTTATCATCGTCTGACGATTAAAGTATTACCTGTACGTTAACAGATCCTGATTCTCGGCTAGGCCAGCGAAACTACCGGATGGAAATAGTATCGGACTGCTAGTTCTAGATTCCTCGAGGTAGCACTTCTTGCCGTTCAGCTTAAGATCGTCGACGAGAAGGTCCGGCTTGACGTTCTTCGACTTGGAGCCCTCGTTCCTCGCCATCGACAAACACGACGACGACTCCTCCACATCGTCCAATGAGTTCCTCAAATTCTGTAGGAGTAGTCGCTGCTTCCTCCTCAAGTACTCGACCTTCTGCTTAAACTGCTCATTCGACAAGTGATGCACCTGCCCATAGTCCGGTATGCTCTTCAGGAACTCGAGGAAGTTCTCCAGGGTATCACGCGGACTCGACAACTCCGAGTTCTCGATGGCTTCGCCCTCGGCAAAATTGATTTTCTTCACTCTCTCTGATCTCTGGCTCCCGGATGACAGCCGAGGACGTTCGTAAGAAGGGGTTGGTTGCCGGCTGCAAGGGTCCACCGGCATCTTTACGCACGAATGGAAGAAGGCTGTGCCTCTGTGCTCCGTCATGGCTCACTGATTTATCACGAAATATGATGTAGTGCGCGCAGATCATGTGACATATAAATAATTTGCGATAGAATGGAAATACGTTTTTCAGTATTAATAAATTTGCTGCTAGATATGAATAATTATAGACATTGGAAAATAAAAAGATACAACGCAGATATTTTATAACTGCTAATATATTTATCTATCCTTCTCGCCCAGACAGCACACATATCTAAAAGACATCATAAAGACGTCTTTAAGACGTCTTTAAGACGTCTTTTAGACTTAAAGACGTCTTAAAGCTGTCTTTTAGACATGGTGTGCTATCTGGGCGGCTACATTTAATTGATGACAAGTGATTGATATATTATAAAATCTATTTAAAATGTGTAATGACATGTGGAATATTGATAACAACGCACTAACAAATAGAATTTTGTTCGCGCAATTGAGCCATTTTTGTGCATGTAACATGATTTGTTACATTAATTTGCGCGCAAAATGTTTTCCGGGCACTTTTAAAATTGGTTTTACGTGTTGAATCTTTGTAGTAATCACCTTCATCCTCCAAGTGTTCGACCAAATGCGACTCCGGATCGAGGCGGAAGCTCGTGACCAGAACCAGGATGTAAACGACGCATTGGTCGCTTTGACGGTCGTTACTGTGTCTGGCTAGAGGGAATCAATGCGACTTGTGCGACCTGGCGTCGCCGTCGCCATGGTGAAGCTCGCGAGGAAGCGCTAACGCCCTGCGACCAGTCCCGTGGAAATAAACGGCGCGCAAAATGACCCGATCGATTTGTTGGAATACGAACCCCATACGGCACCGAAGCTTTCAGAAACATTTCAGAAACATTGCAACAATGTTTTCTGAAATGTTTCTGAAAGCTTCGGTGCTGTATGGGACGCTACCGCTTCGACAAACGCCTATATGTTTATATTTCAGGAATAAAAGAAACCCCAAAAAGATTCAGTCTCTGAATCATCTAATTTCTTTTTATTAAAGAAGAGAATTAAGAATTAATCTTAAGATGGACGCAGAAGAGCTAAAGTTATATCCCATACAGCACGCATGTCTAAAAGGCATCTTTAAGATGTCTTTAAGTCGTCTTTTAGACATACGTATCTAAAAGACGACTTCAAGACGCCTTTTAGACACGCGCGCTGTATGCCCAGCAAACACAGAGCATTGCAACGACGTTGCGGCAATGCTATAACATTGCTGTAACGTTGCTGTAACGTTGCTACAATACTGCGCAATGTTCTATATGTTTGCTGGGTGGGTATGTTCAAGCGTAATGTGTTCTTCGGCTGATGGCAGAGAACAATCCGTGAACGCTTAAGACTGGCTCAGTCGTAGACGTAGGGCAAGGCAGAGAGAAACGTAAGTCGTGAAAGGCTACTGTATTGCCTTGCCCTACGTCTACGACTGAGACAGTCTTAAGCGTTTACGCGATTGTTCTCTGCCTTCAGCCTTCGGCTGACCATATTGGATCCGGATGGAACCAGGAGTCATTAATTCAATAACAATTTGCTCCTCGGCGTGTCTTCGACACATTGACAATTTTAACAGCTCTGCAGAGAGAACATCTTCGTTTTTATAATTTTTATATTTTTCAAAAGACGCACGTTTCCGTTTTTTATTCAATCCCAGTGAGACATGATTCGTCGATCGACGTCGAAACGACGTCGAATCAACATCGACACCGTCGAATTGACGTCATCATTTCGACGTCGATCGACGAATCATTTCTCACTGGGATGGGTGCAAAGAGAAAAAAACATTTTCATTTGCGTTTTCGTTTATTTACAGTTGCAGACTCGGTAAAAAAAAAAAAAAGTCCATGCACGAACGTGAATAAAATCTCCCGCTAGCGCTACCTCACCTACGGGCGGGAGTGTGTGGGAGAGACCCGAGCGCGCGAGTCACACGGATACGGATTATAGTGATTATACGGACGGCTTTTCAGTATTTCGACCGGTGCGCGATACGCGTCTGTCTGTCAGTGCAAAATGGTGCAAAACTGCAAAATGGCGGCTCTCAGGGAGACGGTGTCAACGTGCCGAGCGATATATTCGTTACTGTCGCGAAATCGCGAGCGTGTCATCCCGAGCGTGGCTGCGGTCTCGAGAAGAAATTATTCGGTCGCCGCTGAGAATGAGGAGCCCTACGACGTCATCGTCGCTGGAGGCGGCATGGTCGGCACCACGTTGGCGTGCGCCATAGGTTAGCTTTTTAACAACCCCACTGTTTGCGGCAAAATAAAATAGAAGTCCGTCAGTTTGTTCCGAGATTTAAGAAAAGTATTTAGGAACTCTAAGATTGATTTAATTAATTAAAAGGGGAGACTTTAAGTATTGGATCAGGGACATAAAATCGAGTAGTGATCATCCAGCATGAGATTTCTTGAACTGCGATTGAGATCGGATTGAAATTTGACCGGTTAAAGTGAAAGTCACTGAACTTGAGATTAGATTGAAATTTGACTGATTAGGCCCGGTTTCGCCAAACGACGCTTAACTTTAATCTTAGTTTAATTCACGTTTGTCCCTTTTTAAAGTAACAGTTGCAAAGAGACAAAGAACGAGTTAAGCTGAGCTTGAAGTTAAACAACGTTGATGAAACCGGGCCTTAGAGTAAAAGTCATTAAACCTGAAATTAGTAAACTTTACTGTCATCAGATTTCAATCTAATCTCAATCTCAATCCGTAGTCTGATACGGGCTTGAGAGATTTTATTAGACTTTCCCTAGCCTTCTTACAAAAAATCAGTTAAAATGACAAATATTCAAATGCCACGTATACCAAAATTCTTACTAGCGATTGCAGTTTTAAAGTAATTAGCGAGACAAAAACTTACGAGTACACTTCTTTCAAAAACTGATTAAGAAAACTGGCCGGCATTTTATCTGCGTTTCATGTTTTTTCTTTTTTTTTTGTTACACTTTCTGCATCCGAGATACAAGTACACATTTGTTTGTTCTCAGCGAACAATCGGCGACTGGCGGGCAAGAGGATTTTACTTTTGGAGGGTAATGTTAAGCAGGAGTATACACCACCGGAGCAATACTCCAATCGAGTTGTAGCGTTGAATCAGCAAACCCGTACCTTATTGTCCAGCATAGGAGCATGGAAACACATAGAGGCAATCCGCTGTTCTCCGGTGCAAAGGATGCAGGTGCGATCCTTTACATTCCCGTTTGCTACTTCATAATTAATTATATCCGTTAAACTATTAAACTTGCATTAATAATATAGAGGTAATTTATAATGATTGATCTTGATATATTGCATAGCAGGGTTGGGAGAAGTTGTTTTACAAAGGTATGTAGCTACAGTCACAGTTTTTTCTCACTAAAAATGTAACTAGTTGCAATTACAAGTTACCAATTCTGAAGAGTAACGAGTTGCAGTTACTTAAAAAGTAACAAATCGTTACTTTGCAGTTACTTTCTTATAGCAATAAAAATATCAAATCTGCATTTGAATTGTAAAGTGTCGACAGAGGCATTTCTGTGCAAATGCAAGGCCCGATGCAATCTGTGGAGGTTTAAAGTATATATAAAGTAACTATCAATGTATTCGAGTTAAGTTACAGTTACATATGGAGAGAAAGTAAGGAAGTTAAGTTAGAGTTACCAAAAGAAATAACTGTAATTTCGTTACAAGTAACAAATTACTTCCCAACTCTGTTGCACAGCTAATGGTAATCGATTATAGTTGAAATATTGTAATTAAAATGTAATCTTTAGATCCCGACTTCTGCATATACTTCACGTTGTTCTATTTTATGAAATTGGGGATTCTGTGATATCTATGTGAAATAATTTTTTGCAATAGGTGTGGGACGCGTGTTCTGATGCTATGATAACGTTCAACGAGGACCTATCGTACAAAGACTTGGCCTATATAGTCGAGAATGACCTGCTGTTGCACGCGGTCAACAAGCAGCTCTCTGAGAAGGAAAATGTCACTGTGATTTGTGAGTCTAAGGTCGTCGATGTGAAATTACCGAAAACGTTCATGGAGTTTGTCACTGTCCAGCTGCAATCTGGGCAGCAGTACAAGACCAGGTTATTGGTAAGAGCTAAGTAAGGCTTATTGTTAGATTTTGTATATGTACAGGGTGTCCCAGACCACCCGTACACCCTGTACATATGTGGTTAGATTAGTATTAGGTCCTGACAATTCATGTCTCTTTCGCCTGAAAATTATCCTGATTTTTGGAAACTTCACAGATTTTTGCACTTATTTTTCAAAATAATTTAAAACGTAATATAGATAGTGATTAGAGCCTCCACGGAATGGTGTATTGTACTTTTAAGATAATGTTTTACGCTCAAAGTCTTTTAAGTGACAAAAACTTGGAGCACAATAACAGTTCTGTGTGTCAAGTCTTAAGTACGTATACAAAGACAACGTTTGCAAAGAATAAACGTATGTACGTAAACGTACAAAAGTAACAATTTTACCGCACTATTAATAATAGATAAATATTTTCAAAAAATTAAAATTACAATAAATGTGGAGAAATAAGTTAAAAGAGGGACAAGGGGATCTTGTTACCGGAGGAAAGCTGGGAAAATTAATTTAAATAGAATTGAGAAATGAAATAAAGAGTAATTGAAAAAAGAAATTGAATAAGAATAATATATTGCGTTAATATTTAAAAAAAACGGCGATTCAAGAGAAAGGAGACCCGAGCGAAGCCGGGTAAGGCCGCTAGTAATTTATAGACATTGTTTCAAAATTACAAGTCAGCTAATCTGCTGAGGTTCTTAGGCCAGCATTAATGCAAGTGAGTCGACACGTTCAAATCCCTAGCGATACTCTCCACCTTATCGGTCAGATTGTCTAGCCTCTTACTGACGTTGTACGAATATCTTTTCATTTCGGCCGCCAGCTCGTTGAGCTGCAGCTGGTTGCTCTCATTGCTGTACATCCTGCTGACCCTCGCGTGGCTCGAGTCCGCCACAGTCGCGTTAACATTTCGCGGCAGCGGGGGCGCGCCGCCCCTGAAAGTCGCCCTCCGTGTCTTTCTCTCGCTGACCAGACGATATATCGCTCGGACGAGTTCTCGCGGTAAGCGTTTCTCGCGCGGATCGTTCGGTCGAATGTGCAAAGCGCAGTGATACGGCGGGTGTAGCAGTAGAGCGCCTCTCCTACACGCCCGTATTATCCTGCGTGCCGGAGCGTGATCCAGAAGCTTGGAGAACAGCATGCTCTCGAGATGAGCCACGAGCTCGGCGCGGCGCACTAGTCGATCAAGGCCGGCGCATCTACGGAGCTCTTGGATATCCGATACAGCTAGACCGACCATGAGATTCGTTAGGATCACTGTCACTAGAATAACGAAGCCGAGGAGCATCAGATGGGCCGTGCCGGGATACTGGAGCGGCGCTTCATCGTCGAAGAAGACGTCCTCGAACTCGAGCTCGCCCGACATCATAATTACCGTCTTGAGTAGACTGACCAGTGGATTGGCGAAGGACTTGTAGTTCTTGTGCAGCACGCTGAAGCCGAGGGAGAAGCCGACTATGAGGCAAACGTAGGCTGCGAGAAACTTAAAGAAGTTGATTGACACTTGAGTGAACATTTGTACGTAGATACCGAACATGGGGAAGCGACCGACCACCATCATTAACTCGATCCAGACCAGTAGGACACCCAGGGCGGCGACGTGATGCTGCCAGGTGTACGCCGAAGGGATCAGGATGATGCCGGACGCCATAATCACGCTCCACTGCAGCCAGTTCTCCCAGCGTCTCGCATAGCAACAAATACCGTGAGCAACTTGAAAGAGCTCCTTGCAGGCGAGAACGCAGGTGAATCCTAGCACTGGCCAGAGGAGAACGTTGCTGAGCCGTTTCACTTGCCAGCGATACGTTGCCCCGACATAGCCGGTGAAGAGGGCAACGAAGATCGAGTGAAACATCAGGCTGAGAAGGAAGAACTTGCGGATGCGTAGCCATTTGAGATAGAGGAAGCTCTCGCACAACGGGTGCTTCAGTACATGACCCTGACCGACCTCCACCAGGCAGAGCATCAGATCCGTCTCGCCGCGGCCGCCTGGCACCAACGGCCGGTAGTCCAGCCGCAGCTCGCAGTCCACGTCGCCCAATTCGTGATCGTGCAGCGAGATTGCCTGGTCGAAACGCGCCACAAAGCGTGGCAACACGTCCGGAGTGCGGCGTATAATGAAGCTAAGGGCGGTAACGCCACCCTTGGTGCGCGCTGTCACGTCGGCGCCCTTCGACAACAGTATCACCACCGTGGGCGAGCTCTCGTTCAGGGCCGCGGTGTGCAACGGCGTGTAGCCGAACTTGTCTGCCTTGTTGACCGAGGCGCCTGCCTTTTAAAGGAGGAAAACTTTGGTTATTTCTGAATTACCACTTCTAATTACCGTCTATCTCTTTTTACAAAGCTCTTTCATTAAAACACAATTTATTTAATTCCTTTAATTTGTGTAAATGTAAAATAGTATTGGGATCATGCTTCATTTTAACTGAAAAACAGTTTGACTTTGTTTATGGAAGATCATCAATCGAACTACGAACTTGTATTAAAGTCTTGACCAGTTCGCCACTCCTTAGAGCTTTTGCAACTGCGGCATGTAGAGGAGTTCGCCCGTCGTCGTCCTCTGCGTTGACTTTCGCACCGGCGTTTATTAACAGGTCTAACGTTTCTGCAGATTGAGCAAGCGCTGCCAGGTGCATTGCCGTCTGACCGCGCGAATTCTTCGCTTCCCAGTCCGCACCAGCATTCAGCAATAACCTGGTGCACTCCACGCTGCCTTCTTCGGCTGCCAGGTGTAGAGGTGTTGACCTTGCGACTCCCAGTTGCACTCTCACATCTGCTCCGTGACTCAATAACAGTTTCGTACAACATACGTTGCCCAAGGTAGCCGCCACGTGCAGCGGTGTCTCTGTGTAAACCTACCGAAGAGTCATATTAATTTCCCGAGGAAATCCTCGCCCGAATCCCAAAGAGACTTGTTACTTTAGTGGGAAAGTAATTTGCGATCCGCAGAATCGTTGTTGCTCGTCAATGTTACGTTGAAGATCTTATTACTTTCCGCAATACAATTATCTCGATAAAATTTTACTTTGAGAACTTTTGTTTCACTTTCCCACCAAAGTCGTGCTTGACATGGTCGTGGTAAAGGAGCACCTGTGGATTATTGGGACAAGCACCTGCTTGCAGTAGAGCCTCGACACAATCCCCGGCGTTGTTTAGCACGGCATAGTGAAGCGGGCTTTTGCCGGACAGTCCGGCGTCCACGTTCGCGCCCGATTTGATGAGGCATTTGACGGTGGCGACGCAACCCGCCGCTGCAGCGCAGTGTAATGGGGTGCATTTCTTTCCGAGGTCCCACTTGTGTGGATCGGCTCCGTGTTTCAGTAACTCCTCCACAAGTTTCACGGACGCGGTGCAGGCTGCCAAGTGTAACGGCGTCCTAGGATGTAAAAATGTCATTTTTCCAAAATTAGTTGAAGCTACAGGCTCGACTGATTGGTCCTAGCCAAGGTACGTCACAGATATTTAGATATAATAAAATCAGATAATTTTCGAAATACTGAATGAATTCTGAATAGTAATATCTGACTGTCGCAAATTATATAGTTATCATATACGTATACCTTCCGTCGTAGTCACTCGTAGAAACTGGCGCGCCTTTGTCCAGCAAAGCCCTCGCAACCTCCACGTGACCCAACCAGCTAGAAGCCAATAGACACGTGTCCGGCCATCCTGCGAGTAGCTGACCGGGAGTTGTAGCAGCCGCTGCTCCGTTTTCGCTATTTAGCAGAGCTTTACGCATAAACCTGCACGGATAAGCTTGGTTTCATCTTGACGTAAAATTAAATTACAGATGTGCGTCTGTCGTTGCACATTTTATCTTTGTCACATTACCCGTTCGCGAATGTAGGCAACGAAAGCTTGCGATGTCTGCAATCCAGTTTTGTTTTGTTGAGAGCCAAGCATTTGAATTCCTCTAAAGCCTTTTGCAGAGTGTCATCTTGAAGAGAAGGGATCAGGGAGATGGCGACTTCGCCCCCTGGAAGATTTAACAGCGCCGCTTCGACTTCCTTCGCGCTCCAAGGTTGCTCTTGTGTCATCGGCGCCGTTGGTATGTGGCAGGTGACGGAGTCCGAGCTGCTCTCGGAGGAGATGCTGCCACCGTCAATTTCACTCATCCAAATCTCCTCATGCTCTTCCTAAATTCGATACAAGCGATCAAGGAAACGTCGGGAGATCATCGATAATCGATTATCAATTCCTTCACCGACCTTGTCATTGATCACGATGGACGGCGTTCCATTGCTGGCAGCTTCCGTTCTCGGTGCCTCTCGTGTCAGACGACTGTCGGAGAGTCTTACGAAAAAATTCTTCTTACTGAGAATCGACATGATTATGTCCACCTTTGAATTCTTAAAGAAATCATCTAAACCACACGAATGAGTTGTAAATAGATTATAAACAGATACAATCGTGTAGAAAGGTCGGAAAATTTCTTCTCTCGATTAGTTCATTGTCATTCACGCGGCAATGCATTGATAACAGCGCACACTTCCACGTGTACAATGATACGTTTGTCACTAGACGACGATCTTTTCAAGTATTAACTTTACGACTAACAGCGGATGACGGAAAACATATTGTTAAATCCATCATTTGATGAGCAAACCTCTTGTAGAATGGATGAATCTAGTGCGTGCCCATCACTCGCTCTTGCTCGCTATTACTGAACACTTAGTCGACTATTCGAGCTCTGTATATCCCAGGATACCCACACGTGTTTATAAAACAGTGTTTTATATTTAGCTTCCATTAATCTCTCTCGCGGTTCTCTCTCGTTCCTCGCGTAAATCCGGTGGATATTTCAAAGACAAAGGGAAAAGGAGAAAATCTCCGACCGCAGACTCTTTTTCCTACGATTCCTTCCCGCCGGAAATGATTGTCTTATCAACCAACTCCGGTCATTCCACGCGTAAACACGTTCAACGGAGTTCGGTTGGTGCGTCAACCGATATCATTCGACGAAATCGTCATCCCGTGACGTGTCTTTCCTGCCTGGTATATTTTTAAGTAATTGGAAGATTTGAGAGAATGTTGTGTAATGTGTATTTTATAACAATCCATTTATCGTGATTGATCCACACAGACATCTATTAAAGACAACTTCCTCGTCTATTTCAATTTGCGAGAAACTAAAGAAAAAATATAACATTGAATAAATATAATATATTTGTGATTAATGTTAGCAACTTTATTAATAATTTATAACTCAATTACAATCACATAGTAATTTAATTGGCCACCTCCAGCTGTGCCAGGTCCTAAATGGCGTTTACGTTTGTAATTGAGTTATAAACTTAAATAGGACCGAGTCAAAATTTAGTTGTTAATAATTTATGTTAAACATTTTGTGCAATAAAATGTAGAGAGAAGTCCTCTACTCGTATTATGAGATAGATTTCTAATATGAGCTAATATGAGAAGCAGGTTTTCAGTACCCAAATTCAATCACAAATCTTTTTTTGCAACGATTACACAATCTAAGAATAAATTTTTCACTAAATAGATTTCACTCGAACGGCAATAAATTCATGGTGGAATCGTTAGGTGATGCCTATTAATTTAACAGAAAACCCGCTATCTCGTATTAGAAGCCTATCTCATAATGGGGAACTTTTCTCTATATATTTTCAAATCTTAATGATACCTAAATATGTTTTAATTATACGTGGTATTATATGTAATAATATCTGAAAACTTTTATTACTATTATTATTGTAATTATGGTATTTGGGCGGCGCAAAATCAGATGCTTGCTTGATTGCTCCCTGAGCGCCAAAATTCCTAATTACAATACTTAATATAACATGAAAAGTAACTTTACATCACCTTCAGTAATAAGAATAATTGGTCATTTGTTTTAAATAACTACGAGGCATTTGTGTAAATGCGGTTTTCAAAAATATTCGATTGTTATATTAAAATGTAACTAACACTTTTTGCGGACAATATCCGCAGATTTGTGTATAAACGAAGCAGCGTTTACGACGGGAAACAAGTATAAGACATTAACCACTCGACGTCAGGCGATCTCCGCCGAAATCTGGAGCGGTACTGACGTTATTTTTATACACGCGTGTAAATCTTCGGCGCGCTCGTCTGTCGCAACGCACATTATCTGCACTATTCGTGCTAATCCAATAATCTTCGTTATAACAACGTTTATGATTTTACTTTCAAGACGCGGTTACCGTCAAACATAACGAGTCAGACGAAATAAAGCGTTGGATGCGTTCCAGGTGGGCGCTGACGGTGCTAACTCGCTGGTGAGGAAGGCGATGGGTGTGATTTATCTTAACTGGCAGTACAATCAATTGGGCATCGTCGCGACTCTCAAGCTGTCCGAGGTAATATTTCTCTTGGAAATATGTAATGTAATACAGATGCAGAATAAACATAAGAAATACAGCGGGATTTGTCACATTAACAAGGAAATATGAGCTGCTAAGTTATAATATTCGTCGTTAATTGATTTCAGCCCACGAAGAACGTTGTCGCCTGGCAAAGATTTCTCCCAACAGGACCCATCGCATTGCTTCCGGTAACTTGTCAGTCTTCGTACCTTATTATACTTATACGTCTCTTCGCGCAACAACACCAAAGTCTAAAGAACACGTGAACGTCTGGAAAATATTGCAGACACGAGTGAATTAATGAAACAGTAACATATAGAAGTATTATTTTATCCTCGGCATTTTTTCACGAATTATTTCTGATCTGGAAAACGGATTCTGTTAGATGCATCAAATCGGATCCATCACAGTAACAATTCTGATGCTTTAACAGTTGACAGACTCTCTCAGTTCGCTTGTATGGTCTGTAACGAGCGAGAAAGCGAAGGAACTGATGAAAGTCTCGGAGGAGGAGTTCGTCGACAGGATAAACGAGGCGCTGTGGCGGACCTACCCGAAAAGTGGCATCGTCGAGACCGGGATGCATGGATTCCAGTGGTTACTCACCAGACTCGCCTTGAATACCAATGCATCCAGGCAAATGCCTCCCTCTGTGACGGCGATCGTCGACGGATCGCGGGCAGCGTTTCCCTTGGGTTTCGGCCATGCCTCGTCTTACGTTCAACAGGGCACGGTGTTGGTCGGGTAAGAAACTTCTACTCTTAAGGATCGCATCGGCGACTTGGCTGATGAAAATCTGAACCAAAATCTCAAGAAACACAAAACAAATCTCAACGATGTATTTCATCATAGGAAAAATTCTGTTCATTGTCCAATCAATGCGTCTTCAAAGCGAAATGTGAATATGTACTGAAATTTTATTAGAAAAAATTTATTGTGTGACGCAGCGAGTTTCATGTCTTCTTTTAATCTTTTATTGATCCTCGTGTGTTTTTAAAGGGACGCTGCGCATCGAATTCATCCTTTAGCGGGTCAAGGTGTGAATCTAGGTTTCGGCGACGTGACGGAGCTGACACAGACCCTCGCTGAGGCCGCCGTGAACGGCAGTCATATCAATGATATGCACTATTTACGAGCGTACGAAACTTCGAGGCAACGTCATAACGTGCCAATGATGTTCGCCATCGATGGACTGCATCGATTCTATCAATACACCGCGGCACCCATTGTTCTTGGTAGAAGTCTAGGATTGCAACTAGTGAATGCTGTGCCACCATTCAAGGTACCAGTCGCATTGATATATGTATAGAGGAAAGTCCTCTATTATGAGATAGCAGGTTTTCAACACCCAAATTCAATCGCAAATCTTTTTTCGCAACGATTACACAATCTAACAATGAATTTTCCACTAAACAGATTCCAAGGGCAATAAATTCATGGTGGAATCAACTGATGATGCCTATTAATTTAACAGAAACCCTGCTATCCCATATTAGAATTCTATCTCATAATAGGGGACTTTTCTCTATATATATTTTTTTTAAAGAAGCCTTATTTGATTAACCAAAATGCGATTTTTTTTTAGAAATTGTTAATGCAACAGGCTGCGGGAAATAATTTTTTTTAAAAATGTTGATTAATGGTGAGATTAGAACGTAAGTAGAATAATGTGATATTACACTGATAGGAAGACAGTAGGACCTCCAAATCTGCGGGTTATACGTTCCAAAATCTACTCCAGATAACCGAAACCGCGAGTATGTAATATGCAACTGAAACTATTGTGTTACTTCATTTATTAATAAATATATTTATATTTATATAATATAAATATAAATATATTTATATTTATATTATATACACCCTGGCCGAGGTGATATTTTTTCGCAATAAATTTAGAATAGAATATTTAGACACTACCATCCTGTCACGGCTCTGAGTCCTTTAAATTCTTTGAAATTTGTGTTGAACACATACGAGCCCTACTAATTTATTTAATTTATTTAAATATATTTATATACGTAAAGATTTTAACTTTTTCAGTAGGAAATATGTCACGATTCCTCTTAGACATTTTAGTTATTAAAGTTTAAAAAGTTATTTGAACATATTTTAATAGAATCAAACAAAATCACTATTAAATATGTAAAATAAAAGTATGTCAATGTCTAATTAAAATAATAAGCCAACACGAACGTTTAAAACACCTAAAGTACATACTACTCGATCGTACAATGATCGAATACAAAAGACGTGCGCAGAAAAACAAAACGTGTTACAGCCTGTGCGAATAACTGAAACGGCGAATATGGTAGTCCTACTGTATTTCGGAATATGAAGGATGATTTGTATTTATTCTGTATATTTCATACGTACATTATAAATTAAAATATCGTAAAGATGTAGATAATATATTTAATAAATATTAAATTAGACACATAAGTACAAGTAATACAGCCATTGAGGGTAATATCGGGCCAGCGAAATGCCATGATATAGCCGCCCAAATCATCACGGAGCCGTGCTTGACTGTGGGGAGTAGGCTGCAGTCCGGATCTGGTAGGCTTCTTTGGGAGTTCTCCGTACATAAACCCAGCCGTTTGTAGGTAACAAAGTAAACGATGATTCATCGGGTCATACCACATTCTTCCAATCATCAATCGTCCAAGTTTTATGATCGTGGCACCACTTTTTTCGCAGCTTCGTGTTGGCATCCGTTATGAGGTTTCGAAATTGCATTGCCCTGCCGTAAATGTTACCTTTGTGGAGCTCCCGCCGTACTGTTTTTGTCGAGACAGGATTGTTCAGGTGACCGTTGAGTTCTGCTGTCACCTTTGCTGCGGTAGTTTTATGTTGCTTGGCTACGATTCTTTTTAAAATACGGCGGTCCCTATCTGTTAACGTTGTTTTGCGCCCACTTCTTCTCTTCGCAGATGTTGTTTTGCCATATTTTGTGTAGGCTGTCATCACCGTGGATACTGTCGCTCGTGAAACGTTAAATAGTTCAGCCGTTTTCGTCACAGATGCTCCTGCTAACCGAGCACCCACAAATTGGCCTCTTTCGAAGTCTGACTAGCGCATTTCACCATCCGATTGTTAACACCGTCGTAGAACAAAGCGAATAGTATATTGAAATATAAACTAGAACGGTTACTACGTGAAGTGCGCCACACCGTTCATACCATGGAGGAAAGAACGGCAGTGTTTTGCCGAACTTCCGCTAGCTAAGCAGTTGCTCGTTTGGTAGCGGTTTCGGACTTCGGTTGCAGTGCCGCTTATAATTCAGCCTCGGCGCTTCTGTCCAGCCAAATATTTGTAAGCAAGCGCTCGCCGCTTACGTGCGCTTAGCTAAGCAGAGATTCGGCCAAACACAGCCATTGCCTGTGTCCAGCAGAAGTTAGCGCTTGCTAAGCGCTTTGCGTTCATTAGATTATACTTTCAGATCTGTGCTGAAATAGAGCTATTCTTCTAGATCTATCCAATCAGCATAAAGCGCTTATTAAGCGCTAACTTCTGGAGAACACAGCCAATGACTGCGTTCAGCAGAAGTTAGCGCTTGCTAAGCGCTTTGCGCTCATTGGATTATACTTTCAGATCTGTGCTGAAATAGAGCTATTCTTCTAGATCTATCCAATCAGCATAAAGCGCTTGCTAAGCGCTTTGCGCTCATTGGATTATACTTTCAGATCTGTGCTGAAATAGAGTTATTCTTCTAGATCTATCCAATCAGCATAAAGCGCTTATTAAACGCTGACTTCTGCTGAACGCAGCCAATAACTGGAGGAAGCATAAACCCTTTTTTAGATGGTGGGGGGTAGCTAACTCCTATCTCTAGTGGTAATTGGTTATCCACGGTAATATGGCGTTCTGTAATACTGTCGTTTTGCACTCTGCACTATCTTGAACTGGGTGCATCTTTTTTCAATTTGCCGCGCAGGCCTTGCATAGCACAAGAGAAAACCAATCGAAGCAAAAAAATTCGATTTGGCCAATCACGGCGCACGGATCGTTTGACCGATTATGGGTCTGTTCTTAATAGCTAAACTGGCTGCGCTAGTTCAGAATTTATCATTTTTCCTCTACATTGCAATTGGAAGGAGAGAGAAAAATGAACTCTGAACTAGCGCAACCAGTTCAGCTATAAAAAACAGACCCGATGCTGACTCGGGCGTTTTGAAAGCGGCTCACGTGTCATTGCTCCGAAAAAGAATGTCTTCGTTTAGGTTTAGAGATTATCCACGATTATCTACAGTTATTTAATCATCGACGCGTCTTATCTACGTGAGCGAAGTAATAAACTCGCGTTGATTCAATTATTTAGCGACGCGTTTGTGAAAGGATCGCACATACGTTCGAGATACCGGACGAAGATGCCCAACGCAAAGCTGGAATAATCAATGAGACTCGCTCCGGAAGATATGTAGGCTGTGACGAGGTTAACCTAACCTAACCGTTTCCCGAAGCGGTCCTCGATGCCGCGGAATACCAGCCTCGTGTCACGTGAATTTATGAGGATTTGTAACCGTCACTTTGTATTCTTCAATAGGTCAGTGCGTCATGCTCTTACACTTATGCTTCACTAATTTACGTAACATTATTGTTATCAGTTATCGTTTATTTTGTAATGCATTCCTCGCTGCTTTGGATGACTTTCAGTTATACATTTGCGCCCGTGTGTTACTATTGTGTCATTTTTATTCACGCTTCACGCCCTGTTGTATTTGATTCGCGTTAGATCAACTCGCTCTAACCGCATTGCATTGAGTTAAACTCCTCTGTACTCCATTTATCTGGACCGTGTAAACTCCGAATGAGAAGAGAATATCACGAAAACAACAAAAATAATTTAATATAGCGAAAATAAACCAGAAAATAAGAAAGCAATGTAATCCAAGTTACAGCTGTTAGTTAGGTTGCTATTAGTTAGGCTTGTGGTGCCTTTGTCACGTATCCCCGTTGTTTTCTTTCCTCGATTGAAACTATCATGACACGTTTCGACTTTGTCGTGAATTTAAACTGAGGACATCTCGCAGGAATTGTCGATCGAGCAGCGATGTTGACGTCCAAAAGGCTGTTCAAGATCGCCGCCATCGGGACGATCGGGCTGGGCACTCTGGCATCTCTCAGGGTGAACGAGTATGACGTAGGTGCCATTGGCATCGTGCGGCTGGGACGTGCCGCGCTCACGGTGTTTGAGATAGGCCGTCATTATAAGAGAGAATTGTTCAGCAGCAAGTTGGACAAGTCGTCGACGGAGTACCTGCAGCTCAAGTCGGACGTTCACAAGTACGGGGCGCAGAAGCTGCTGGAGCTCTGTTGCGCCAACAAAGGGGTGTACATCAAGGTGGGCCAGCATGTGGGCGCGCTGGACTATCTGCTCCCTCACGAGTATGTGCGCACCATGCGGGTGCTGCACAGCTCGGCGCCTCAATCCTCGTTCAAGGACGTGCTGACCGTCATCAGGGAGGACTTCAAGAAGGACCCGTACGAGATATTTGAGAGCATCGACCCGGAGCCCCTGGGCACCGCCAGCCTCGCGCAGGTGCACAGGGCCGTGTTGAAAAACGGCGACGTGGTGGCGGTGAAGGTGCAGCATCGCGCCGTCAAGAGCAACTCTTACGTCGATATCAAGACCATGTCGGCCTTGGTGAGCATCACGTCGCTGGTGTTCCCGGATTTCAAGTTCGACTGGCTGGTCAGCGAAACGAAGAAGAACGTCCCGCAGGAGTTGGACTTCGCTCTCGAGGGCAGGAACGCCGAGAAGGTGCAGAGGCTCTTCAGCGGCTACCGCTGGCTGAAAGTGCCGAGGATATACTGGGACGCGTCATCGTCTCGCGTGCTCACGATGGAGTTCCTGGACGGCGGCCAGGTGAACAATCTGGAGTACATGCGCGCCCATCAGCTGAACCCGTATGAAGTCAGTAGCAAGCTGGGTCGGCTGTACAGTCGAATGATCTTCATCGAGGGCTTCGTGCATTCGGATCCGCATCCCGGTAACATTCTGGTGCGCAATCGCGATTCCCAGGCGGAGATCGTGCTGCTGGATCACGGCCTCTACGCCAATCTGTCCGATCAGTTTCGCTGGGACTACTCGAAACTGTGGCTGGCAATCCTCGACGGCGATCGGGAGGCCATGAAGGAGTACTGCACGCGTCTCGGTGTCGCCGATTACTACGGCCTGCTCTCGTGCATGGTGTCGGGCAGAACGTGGGACGCGATTATGTCGGGCGTGCGTAAGACTCGATATAACGTCCGCGAGAAAGATATGTTTCAGCAGAACATCCCGAACTTCCTGCCGCAGATCTGCACCGTGCTGGACCGTGTCAATCGACAGATGCTGCTCATTCTGAAGACCAACGATCTGATGCGCGGCATCGAGTATTCGCTGCGCACTCAGTTCAGGATGTCGGCCGTGATGGAGATGTCCAAGTGCTGCGTGCGCTCCGTATACGGCGAGAGGCTCAGGCAATCCTCAAGTGCGTGGGATAAGGGCTGGATATCGCTGGCGGAGCGTTGGGCGCTCCTCAAGTTGTCGTTCTATTACATATATTTAGGCCTTGTACACTTTGACCTCAACACCTCGGTCAATTCTCTATGGACGAAGGACTTTTATCCGTTTTAATGAAGGCTTCTACTTAAATTAAATTCGTTTTGAATTATATATGAATTGTTGTGCTCCTTGGAAAGTTTATTTTTTACTTAGGTAGTGTTCTTTTTCTAAGAAAACGAAAGTTTACAGATATCTTTTTACTAATGGTGAGAAACAGATAAATATAGGGATAACTTGTACATTATGTGTAAAATATGTACAATTTATTCGCTCTTTTTATACGTCAGTCTACCTCCTGTTAGTCGTCCGTTAGTCATCCTGTTAGCCATTACGGAAAATTTATATAAATTATACGAATTCAGTATACATACGAATATTTATATATATTATATTTTTTGTAAAATACAAACATCTTTGTCGTAAGATTTTCGCTCTTTATTATTATATACACTAGTTACAATGGAGACAAAGGTGTAGATATCCTAGTTAGAAAAATTAGTTCGTTCTGAGTACTTTGCTCTCTTTGGCTAATTGAAGCTGCTCGCGATACTCCGCGATTGATGCCTCCCTGTCCTTCAGGAACTGCTCGTACTCAACCGGGTCTATCTCGCGCACGATCTCGATGCCGCATGAGCGAGCGATGCCGACTAACATCTGACACATGTGCTCTAGACTCAGCAACGCATTGGGTGGATCTTCTATCTTGATCTTGGCGATTTCGTATAAATGTTTCAGAGTTATTTTGCCAGCTAATTCGCCTACGAGAAAAGGATCCTCATAAGTTCACGTTCATTACTCGTGTTAGTGCTAAAACGAACTGTTGTCTTTAGAAAAATCTTTAGGAAATTGAAATTGCAAGAGCTCGAAAGACCCGCGAGTTCGTTTTGCGCGATTGTCTTACGTCTTCTCTGTCGAAATATAAAAAAACTACGACAGTTGGCCCATGTCTCGAGGACGAAACTATAAATCGAGAATTGAAATTAAAGGGAAGGATTCGTACGCATACCTTTTCTTATCCTTCCTTTCTGTACCCCAGCCGCCTGTTTCAAGAAGTACGTCGTTGGCGGTGCGTGAATTACCAAATCATACGTTCTGTCTGAATGCACTTTCACGCGACACGGCAAAGGGATGCCTTCCTTTATGTTGGCTGTCCTCTTATTGAAGTCTTTGCAGAAGTTTTCGATGTTGATGTTCCTCTGGAATCAAAATCACCCTGTGTTAAACGTTGCGTGTCGAATGTTGCAACGAATCTCACAAGCTCAACGTGATTGACAGGAGGATTTATCAGTATCCAGGAGGTGTGACGATAAAATAATATTGTAAAAAGTCTCTGCAATATCTATGCAACATTACACTGCAATATATAATATTGCAATGTTGCAGCGAAGACGCTGCGGGCTTCTGTGCTGTATGGGATGCTTGAGAAAACTTGTTGACTGGTTGGTTCAACACCGGCTAAACGTCATTCAACAAACGGTTGGTATTGCGCCGTCAATTTATTAACAGTGTACACATAAAAATAGTTGAGCAATACTGCGGGCCATTTTAAAACAATTAAAACTTTCAGAGAACGCAATAATATCTTTCAATTTGTTTGAAAGCTATCTATTCATCGGATTGCAGCGTTTTAACAATGTCAGTTCAACATTCTTTTCCCAACTGCCGATGCTTCCGATTTAAAGCCAGCCGTTGATCAACCAATACGTGCCGCTCGGGAAACTTGCAAACGGGCAAAGAAATAAATAAAAACGTTCTACCGATATCCAACGGTACAGTCAAGAAAAGTAATTACTCAGTTTATTTTATTCCGTTTAAGTAATAGTTTGCTTTGACAAAGATTTTCTTAATCGTTTTGAGATATACTTGTTACTAGTCTTAGAAAAGCCTGCCATCTCATACTAAAAGAAAGAATTTATTCTTCCTTGAAGAAAATTATAAAATTATTGAAGAACTCTGTATGCTTCTTTTAATAAAATTAGAAGAAACAAAATGGTTTTGTTTCAAACAATTCTACGTATTCTTGTTCGAAGTACCAGACTTACTAAGAATGTCTTGAGTAAATATAAAATTACGATGACATTATGATAAATTTGCGGATATACAAACTTATCAAATACTTGGAACAAATAATATTTACTTGCAGGTAGTATATACTTTCCTGTGTGACTGTAAACGTACGTACACACAGCGATATTGTAAATTAACATACAGCACCCTGATGGAAAAATTTTGCTGAAAATGTAATGAAATTGATGAAAAGTGAAATGAAAGTTATTGGAAACTTGTTGAAACCATTTCAAAATAAATCATAAGTTTCGTTATGAAATTCAATGAAATACTGTGAAATTAGATGAAAGTTAATTAATATTACTAAAAATGAGTGAAAAATATTTAGAAATGTTGTATATTATGAAATTTGCAGAATTTAACTGAAAATAAATTTTTTAATGAAAAATTGCTGAAATAATAATGAAATTGGGTCAATTGCAAGAGATTTTCAACCAAATTTCAGCAAATTTCATTACATTTTCAGCAAAATTTTTCCATCAGGGCAGTGTTATAAATTGATATTCAGCGGTATTACAAAATAATACGATGGCATCGTAAATAACATAACAGCGGCGATCTGATAAAATAACATACGGTGGTGTGATAAATTAAATATAAAAAAAACAAGCGGCAATCCTAACCTGTCCAAGCTGGGATCCAAGCGGCGGCGCGGACGACGCCATCCCCGCGGGAATATCCACGCGCAGCTTCGACGAGTGGTCGATCTTCTCGACCAGCTTCTTACCCATTTTCATTCTCCCTATCGTCTTCGACATCCTTTGAATTTTGGAGACCCGGACTCTCCGGTCGAACCCAACTTAAGCTAACCTAGCCTGACCTGACCTAACCTAATCGAGGCACACATCGCACAAAACAGAAGAAGAACCTGGTAAACATAGGCAGGCAGAGATTCTCAGTTTTGCCAACCGATGCGGGGGCACGCATAAAGAGGGGCCCGTCCTTCGCGACGGAGATCCACTGATGGATTTCAGAACGAAGGCGAAACTGTGCGAAACTACGGCGGCGACGGTGTAAAGTGACGCTTGCGACATAGTTTTCTTGGATAAATTTCGCACGGAGATGACGGGCTGCTGCGTTCCCGGTTGCAACAACTCGACGAACAAGGGATTCTCGATGAGGAGCTTCCCTACGAACCGCGAGCGGAGAGAACGATGGGCCGCCAGTATCGGTATGACGAATAGGGTACCGAATGCAAACAGTCGTATATGTGAGGTATACAACTTACTTGGAGCCCTTAGTTCGGTGGGGAATGTTGTACTGAAAATGTCGTGAAATCTTGTTGAATTATAGGCTTGTTTTCTGTTGCCGCACTTGGTGAACTAGCGCGACAAGTTAGAGTAAGGCAGGTATATTTTTTCTCATCCTAGCTCGCTGCACTAGTTCACCAGCGCAGCGATAGAAAACAAGCCTGGTATTTGAAGATGTCTGTCAAGTGGCCCCGTGTAGCATCTTCAGATAAATTCAAGACTGTCTTGAATATAAAATCTGATTACAAATACCGGCCTGAATTGACTTATATTTTGCATCATTAATATTGAATTATGTGAGATAATGTATGTAGAGAACATTATTATTTATTTCAAGATACAGTAATTTTTCGACTACCTCTTTCTCTTCACGTCGATTTCACGATACTTTCAGCAAAAAAAAACTCCTATCGCTGTCGCTTGTAAAACCATAAACAAATAAGTTCGTCCGTTTTCAAACAGATACACTTCGCCGAGGATATGTGGGAGAAGGACCGTTGTGATGGCAAACGCAAACTGAAATGTAACGCTGTACCGACGATTTTTTCATCTCGTTCTATGCCGTCTGATGTTTCTGCTTTGCTGAAAAACGGTAACGGAAACAATAACGTCGTAAATATGTACATCGCTAATCTGACGGACGAAGGAAAGGTCAAAATAAATTGTCAGTATCAATTGCATCCTGACAATATCGAACAACTAGAAAACGAACCAGAGAATATGCTCGCGTTTGCGAACACGAGAGAAGAAATGGACTGGAAGAAACGATGTGAGGAACTGACGCAGTTGTTGAGGAAAAGTGAAAGTAAATGCGAGGAACTTCGAGAGTCTATGAAGAGACGCGAGGAGCTGTTTAACAAGATAATAAAAAAGAGTTACAGGTGTGGAAAGGTTTTAAAGAAACGCCTGAAAAAACTGAGGGAAGAAAACCAGATTTACGACAAGTTAAAAATCAGGCTGTACGAAATCTTCAATGAGGATCAAATCAAGGCTCTATCCAATCAGGGATCGAGCTGCCGAGGATGGTCTGACGAGACGATTAAGCGGGCTATTCGACTGAGACGTACATGCGGTAGCGTTGGGTACCAACAGATTCTAGATCAAAATATTCCTCTGCCCTCGGAACGAACGCTGCGAAGGAAAATGAACAGTATTGAATTGGATAAAGATGTAAAAAATGAGATTGAAACGACTTAATATAGGCATATAGGTTTTTACTTTTATCATGCTGTGATTAGAGTTGGAAAGTAACGTGTTTTATAAAGGTCTGTGTCCACGATGTTTGAACTTGGTTCAAGCTGTTCTATAAAAGCTGCGAGTTGATTGGCTACACATTTTTCGGGACTAGAACTTGGACCAAGTTTTTGCATTATGGACACAGGCCTTAAGAAACGCTTCATGACGACAAGTAAATCATTTACTGTTCCAATAAAACTTGATTTTAATATATTTTATATATTGTAGTTATATACATGATTTATGTTGTGTATGTATTTTGTATAATAATATAATAATACAGAGTGTAACAGAACATGTGGGCATAACCATAGTATAATTTTACTGAATGGACAACACTGAAATAAAATCGTGGTCATATAAAGGAGGGTCCCATTAGCCCACAAACACATCGGGCGCCGTCCAGGGACTTTCTAGTAAACCACTAATCAGAAAATTTTATATTAATTAATAAATTAAGTTAACCAATTAGTGATGTGCGCTATCGGATTTTTATCTCTAGAGACTCTAAAGCCCATATCAGACTACGGATTGAGATTAGATTGAAAATTGACCAATTAGAGTAAAGCCCGTATCAGACTACGGATTGGGATTGGGATTAGATTGAAATTTAACCAATCACAGTAAAATTTACTAATCTCAAGTTTAGTAACTTTTACTCTGATTGGTCAAATTTCAATCTAATCCCAATCTCAATCCGTAGTCTGATACGGGCTTTAGGGTTACTAAACTTGAGATTTGTAAACTTTACTGTGATTGGTCAAATTTCTATCTAATCCCAATCTCACAACAGTCTGTGTACCTGGGGTGCTTTCGCGACGTAGAGTAAAATGATCCGGATCAAAATGATCCGTGCTATGATTGGTCAAATCTGAAATTTCATTGAATAAAATTTCAATGAGATGCTACGAAATTTCAGATTTGACCAATCATAGCACGGATCATTTTGATCCGGATCATTTTACTCTACGTCGCGAAAGCACCCATGGTGTCATATATTATATAATAATAGATGACTGTAATCTGAGAGTTGTTAAAATCTTCTAAAAAGATATATTTATTCATTCAGATAGTTTCTCCGGTGACTTTTTCAACAGGTAATTTAATTTTTAATTTGTTATTTTGATATGGAAGTTTGGCACGGTAAAGAACTTCTGCAATACAGAACTAAACGAATATTAATGTGAAGAGGTTAGGAAACTTGTCATAATAAAATATTTTTCAGTGACTTATATTTTGTTCAGAAATAAAAATGCATCTTAATTTGCTTGTTCACGAAAAAATAAATAAACGGCCACTTCTTTATGCAAGAAAATGTATTTTATTCATTCTATTATTTTGAATATCTGCTGGCTCCCCCGCAGTAATGGCTGACATGGTGGTAGCTTACTATTGGTCGGTGGAATTACGCTGCGCCTTGACTCACCTTTCTTTTTCCACCATGGTTGCTAGGGTTGCTAGTGAGTTCCTCGAACGCA